CTAATTAGACATGGTTTAACTTTTTTGAATACTCGAATCAACTTCAGCTTGAGAGCAAGTGAAAACTTATTCCTCCAGTTTGGTTACTAATTTGAACTAGGGATGGGTAAACAAGTCCTGAACTTGCCGTTTTGGAGCGAGTTCATGCGGCTCGGGATAGGTCTAGATATTCTAAATACAAAATGGGCGGGGCGGGTTTAAATATCTGAGGAAACAGGGCCCTGATCTGGACGGTTTCACCATCCAAAAATCCGAGATTCAATCTGCACCCTTGATTTCCCACACATATCACAACACACGAGTTGAGTTTGTATGTCTCTCTGTCAGATCTCAGTCTCTCGACCTCGACAGACTTCTCTCGACCATTAGACTCAGTCTCTAAAACTCGTTGCTGCTGCTAGTAACAAAAATTTTAAAATTACTATGTTTTTTTAATTATTATGTTAATTTGTTGTTGCTGCTAGCAACAAAAATTTAAAAATTAAAAACAAGATCTCGTGGACCTGTAGGAAACTGCCCGTTTGTAATGGGCTAGGATAGGTTTGGTTCCATTTTTAAAATTATAAAACCCGTCCCGCCCTTGCTTTATTTACAGACAGGTCCGGTCCGGTCCCTCCAATTTTTTGCCCTACCGGGCCTATGTCCACCCATAATTTGAACAACTCATATTCAGCTTGATGAAATTGTATGTGCAAAATAAATAAACACTTTTGATTATGGCCAAAGCCTCATGCGCCCATGAGGTGGTGGTTGGGGGTTTAGTCAATGGATCTCTGATGCCTAAATTAGTTTCTTTGAAAAGAGAGAGTGCTTAGGGATAAAGTGCGTGGCAAAAGTTTACTAGAAATTGGTGGAGATGAGATATTATAAAGCTAGAGTCGGCCACATGTGTAGGGTTTTGCCCTGTGGCGGCATCCGATTGGTTAAGGTGAGTCATCCGTAGGATGGATGAGGAAAGACTAATCCCAAAGATATTATTTAATAAATAATATCTTGGGATTATTTTGGAAGTATTCTTGATTGGATATGATTGTGATTTCTTAGTTGATTGAGTTGATCTTCAATTAGGAGAGTATTAAAGATAAGATTTAGTAATTAATCATATCTTTAATACCTTTGACTTTTCTCCTTGTCACATATTGAGGAGATTGATGAAGGTGTAGTTAGCTGCTCTAGACTTCAGGAATGCTGGATTGCGCATGAAAATCTTTGTAGGCCTCACTAATTTAATAAGGTGTCTTCTTCATGAAAAAGTTCACGAGTGGCAGCTGAATCCTAAACGAATAACTTACAAAAATGAAATATCTTACGTCGTCTCACATATTTGACAGCTTGTTCTAAATAACGCTAAAGTGAAGCGAGTTTTATCATGCACTCATAAACATGTTCTTAGCATGGGTATATCTTCTCTCTCCAAAAAGAACTTTTAGGATTTAACAATTATGGCAGAACATCCATCTTCATCACTTATTTGTAATATATCCAGATGATACCTTTGTTTTCTATAAGTCGTATCACAAGCCATTTTCGATGACCGTGTCTAGGTGCATCGTGGTGCTACCTTTCCTATAGGATACCGCTTGGTTTTCGAAACCTCTATGCTTTACACTAAGTGAGTAACCTTTCTTGTCATGGGATTTACCAGATGCAAAGTCTAAGCCAATAGCATCTTCAAATTATTGTTTGAAGCTCCCGGTGAGCCATTGAAATTTCTTCTAAATATGAAGCATAAAGCAGTTCGCATAGGAATGCCTAGTGAGCAAATACACAAGCTGGTTAGCACCTTCCTTACGCGTCTACTTAGTTAGCATCCTAAATTCGCGTACCCTTGCTTCTTTTAACAGGCTAGTAAAAAAGCTACTAAACCTAGTAATCTTGTATAGTAGCATTTGTCCGATTGCTTTAACAAAGGCTTACCTCCAAGTTCATACCTGTCTTGTCCAAAACTATGGGAAAAGTTGATTTACTAGAACAGAACGTGAACTCGATAGACAAGTTAACCACCTAGAATCGATCCATGACCACTACAAGAGTCCTTTACCAAGTAAGCTACGCAATCGTCTTTACCCGCCTTAGCCAATCTTAGCTTGGACATGTCAACACCAGGCGTAACATTATGGGCTTGATAAGGCATTCGAGCTTGAGAATGCGATAGTTTTGAAGACCTTGGATCTTGTAAAAGTGAAACCATTGAATGAGAAACCATTGAACCTTGTGAACTAGAAACTTGAGATTGTTTTGGAACTTGTGGTTGTGGATTAAGAATAAGAGAGGCGATACTTGAATTCAAATGGGTCAACTCTACACAATAGAAAAAAATAACAATATTTATAATAACTTTAAAAAGTCAAAATATTTTTTATATTATACGGTTTGGTTCGGTTTTAGATGTTAAGAACCGAAATCAAATCGTTTTTAACTTGGGGTTCGGTTTCAAACCGAAACCGTTTCAAAACCATACAAACTGGATCATTTGATGCGGTTTAATTTGGCTTGTGTTTTGGTTTCAATTTTTTGGTTCCAAGTGCCCACCCCTAGTACCTCCATTCATCATTGTTGGACCTCTCACAATACCCTCAGGGATGAATTCTACAATCATATTGCTAATATCACTCTAATACTTAGTCCAATTTGGTGGAGAGAAGCTTCATCCACATTACTTTAAAAGGTTTGCGATCAGGTATAGGAAAACAAAGATTCATACATATAACTTTAACTTTTGGTAATGTCTCGTAAAATCTTCGAAAAATTGTTTGGGCCGTAAATAAAAATCAGGCATGGTAAAGAACTAAATGAATTTTATTGGCTAAAGACCTGCAAAATGTCTCAAGTTTGACTCATATAAATAGGATAATGACTTATATTTGTTACTAAGTTAGGACTCATTGTGGATGAGTTAATGTCTCACCATACGAGTATTTATGTAAACATTATCATTTGTGCTAAAAAGAAGAACTTATTAGTTACTTAGTATTATAGCCTAGTGGTATTTCTCTTCACTTGTAAGTGAGAGGTTCTGGTTTCGATTCTCGTCAAAGGTAAATTTGAACTATATTATTGTTAGCCTATTGTGAGGCTAAGCCCATTTCCGTCCCTTCTTGCTTTTGTTCCGCTATCCATGGTAAGAACCTTAGTATAGATAATATCGTCTAATAATAAAATAAAAAAAAGAACTTACCAAACATATTTCTAAGGAAATTTTATTTAAACCCATTTAACCTTTTTCTACACCCAACTTAAATTTTAAATGTTAATTCTCTATTTTATCCTATTACATAATTACTATTAAGTGCAAAATGAAATTAATAATAAAAATCAAATTTATAAATAGACCCACATACTATAATTAAACCCTAGCATCACCTTTTGTTTCTACGTTCATTCCAATTAAAACCCTGATAGCTTTGATAGAGAAAAACAAGTTTTTCTATTGATGGATGGTGATGTAGAAGTTTTTAATCCTCCAACTAAGGTATGACTCGATTTATGGATATTTTGTTTGTTTGCTTCTACTTTGGATTAAATTTCATATTTTTTATATTATATTGTATTTGTTTTTCTCTACCGTCTGTATGCGCCCCAAAATACCAGTGCAAAGACTTTTGATTAGTACTGCAAAGACATAAAACTTGATTCTTGGTGCAAATAAAGATTGCTCAACCTTAACCACGAACTAATGGGTGGCATGTCTTGCACCTTTTTTTTTATTCGAAATAGCTCCAATTTGTTTATTTGTTTATTAACATAGCAGCAAAATACCCAACCTTATATCACTTCAAAGTTTTTTAAAAAGTACATGAAAATGCTTGATTTAAAAAGGACTGAACTAGAGCTTGCATAACATTCTCTTGGAAAATTCAAGTCTATGAAATGATCTCTTGGATCCCAAGTCCATGGATGGGTTGTGGTAGCAAAAAGAAAAAAACAAGCCATGGAAATGCTAGTCCTATACGACATATGCAATTATAGAGGGGCAAAAGATGCCTCTTTGAAAAAGAAAAAAAAAGATTCAATTAGATATGTTATTTTATAAAGAGAATGGGTGTAAAGATAATTTTACACTTTGAATTAGGTTTAAAAGGATAGTTTAGGTAATAAATTTGAGTTTTAAAGAGATCTCACATCGCCCAGGGGAGTGGATCTTGTAAGCCTTATATGTATATTTTCATCTCTACCTAACACGAGGCCTTTTGGGAACTCATTGGCTTTGGAGTTCAACGAAACTCTGAAGTTAAGCGAGTTTGCGCGGGAGCAATCTCAAGATGGGTGATCCATTGGGAAGTTCTCATGTAAGTTCCCAAAAACAAAACCGTGAGGGCGTGGTCGGGGCCCAAAGCGGACAATATCATGCTATAGTGGAGTCAAAGCCCAGGATGTGGTGGGGGCCTGGGCGGGGATGTGACAATTTGGTATCAGAGCCAATCCCTGGCCGGATGTGTGCCAACGAGGACGTCGAGCCCCAAAGGGGGGTGGATTGTGACATCCCACATCGCCCAGGAGAGTGGATTCTGTAAGCCTTATATGTATATTCCCATCTCCACCTAGCACGAGATCTTTTGGGAGCTTACTGGCTTCGGAGTTCAACGGAACTCCGACGTTAAGCGAGTTCGCGCGGGAGCAATCCCATAATGGGTGACTCATTCAGAAGTTCTCGTGTGAGTTCCCAGAAACAAAACCGTGAGGGTGTGGTCGGGGTCCAAAGCGGATAATATCGTGTTACGGTGGAGTCGAGCTCAAAATGTGATAATAGGGATAAAGAGAGTAAATTAGGTGTAGAAAGAAGTTAGATGGACTCAAATAAAATTTCCCTATTTCTTATTATTAATCAATGCATTGTGTTTGGTAAGCTATGCGATTGGGATGTCTTTGGACTTGGAGTGCAATCCAAGGGTTTACCCAAAAAAATAAAAAAATAAAAAAATAAAAAAGATGATGTGGGGCTGATAATTTATCCTTCCAACAGACTTTCATAAAAATAAATAAATAAATAATAAAAACATTTCCATAGAGGGCAATTTTGCAGACGGAGGGAAAAAGAGCCCGTGCTGTGCCTGTTGGACTCTCGGGGTTTTGTGTCATGATACAAAATCGAAATGGGTTTTCGCTTAAATCAGCCATCCACCAAAAATTCACCGAAGAAGTTTTCCTAGAAAATCATGCCCTTTCCTCGGTTCATTTTCTTCTCGTCCAAACAACGCTCACAGGAGGCTCTCAATCTAATTCGGAGGTACTCACTCCACGACCCCTTTGAGATTTCTTTACTGGTAGAATTTAATTCATGTCAGTACTCTTGAATCCCTGGAATTCAATCTTTATTTTGGAATCACTCCTTTTCAATTTCACCGAATTGGGTTTTTGATATGCAGACTAGATTTTATGTTGCTAAATTCTTATAAATGTTTGCGTTCATATATACGCACATAAGTGTATCATTTTAAATTACATCCCAAATGTCTGTTGTTGAAAGATGCTTGGAGTAGTAGTATATGTGTTCTTATCACCTTTTTCTTGCAAATTGGTTTTGCAATGGCAAGTTCTATGTTTGGTTTTAGAACAGTTTTCACTACAACCCGAATGTGTTAATTTGAAAGATAAAATGCGTCAACTATGTGATATTTGGTTATGTTTCAGTACATTGTCTTTTACAAGTGGATGATTTTATTGCATTTTTGACCATTAACTTGATGTGGGTTTTTTGGGGTTTTATGTTTCATCCCACTATTGAGCACATTGGGGTTTTGAATTGAAGAACGTAAAATTCCAAATGGATTTTTGTCGGTTATATGTGAAGTGGAATTCACCATTCTGGCAAGCATAAATCTATATTCTAACCCCATTTGGAGATACCGCTCAAAGTTCTGTTTCATGTTTCCTTTAGCATTTGAGTTTTGACTAAATCGCTTGTGCTTGCTATAGGTCTGGCTTCTCTAAGAAAATTCAGTCACGTAATTATGCCAAGTCATCGAACCATGCTAATGGGAAGACAGATATTAGACCTCCTATGAATGTAGAAACACCACCGGCTTCTCGCTCATGGGGCACCTATGTTATTGTATGCAGCCTTCACCTTTATGTTCTCTTATCAGTGTTATTATCTACATCTTCTTGCTTTCAGATGTAGTGAAAAATGTGCATCTGTCTCATGCTTTTCCGGGATTGAGTTCCCTTTATTTAATGTAAACAGATTGTCTCTAACCTCTATTGATATTGTTCATAATATACTTTTTCTGCAGCCGGTTGCTGGTATACTAGGATTTGCTGGTATCGCAACTTTCATTCGCTATAACGATGAGAGGAGAGTAACTTTGAAAGGTACAGTTTCAGCCTGTGATATTGCTATGTAACTGTGTTTGGTTTGAAGAAGTTGGAATACATTTACCTAGTTATGTGGCCTTTTTATATAATTTTGTTTTCTTGTTCTTCCTCCTTATTTGTTCCATTAAGTGGAATCCAATCATTTGTTGGTATAAAATGGTATTTAAGTTAAATGGCTAATTTTATCTGTCAAAGATAGCTTATTTCAGCAACTTAAGAGTCTTTGCTTCTGACTGTAAAAGCGTTCGAAGTTTTTAAGGGATTATTTGATGTTAGCCTTGACGTGTGAAATACAAGAGGTTTCATGATGAATGGTATACCTCCAATCTGAAATCTCTAGGATATTGGTTATAAAATCATTTATCTAGTGAAATTAGACTGTTTATGTGAAGTGTTACTGGTTTGGCCATCATGCCATTTTCTTTTGAGATAAATCATTAATGTCTGTTTTGTACATTAGTTGGAAAATGTTTAATAGGATTTCTTGGTTTTAAATGTAAATAAAACTTGCAGCACATATGTCATGTTGACCCTCAGTTAGGATTTATTTTGGGCGTAGACAAATTGTTCTTCATGCAGGACTACATCTTTTGTTCCTTTTCTTCATTTAATAGCTTTTGCATTATGAATGAGTAACATAAACAATTTTGTCTTGTGAACTTGTTGTTATGTTTGACAATACAGGATAGGAATGGTTGGTATGACAGTTTAATAATGGCTGAATGAGTTTATATTGTTTGTAATACTAAGTTTGGTGATTTTCTTGTGCTAATCTGCAATGGCTTGGGTTTGGCTTGACTGACAGCCATATTAAACACTACTACTGATAACTGAAATGGAACCCTAAAAGTGATATAAGTGGTATGAAGGAAAACAATGAAAACCTCGGTACTTTTATATTCTATCTTCATAGCTTCATTTTCCACTCGAGAAAACTTAGAGTGACATACAGGTGATGGCATAATTACGTATGAGGAGTGAGGCCTAATCTTGTCATGGTATTCGGTATTCTCTAAGGTAATTGGCACCCCAAGATTTATCCTACCTGAGTTTTTGCTGTAACTAGTCTGTGTCAGGCTATAAAACATGATGGCTTGCAGCATTGCAGCGTATTATCATGTACAGGGACTAATGGGTTAGTGTATGGGTTCTCGATTTGTGCAAATTACTTGTGGGGAGGGAAATAGGCGCCCAAGCAAGCAGGTCTTACATTAAGCATGAGATATTGTTACTAGGTTGAGAAATTCGTTGGAGTAAGGCCTAGAGTTACTGCAGCCAATGTTTAGGTATTATTAGAAAATGGTAATTATGTGTTAAGTTATGATTTTGAAGGGTAAATTAAATGCCTTCCCGTGAACTTTGTTTCAGGCCAAGTTTGGAATATTGTGATCAGTTACTTATATCTATGCAAATCATTTTTTAATCAGTTACAACATTTGGAGAGAGGATTTGGACTTGGAACCTGTTTAGAGGAGAGGTGTGGATACCAGTTGGGTTATACCGTAATCAAAATCAATAGGAAGCGAAACAGAATATAGGGTAATCGGCCCTTTATGCTCTCAGCTATTACAGTAGTGTCAAATTACCCACCAGACATTTTTTTCAGCCAATTTAGGACCTGAAATATATAAAATGGTAAATCTAGGACACACCGTCAGATTCCTTGCAAGTCCATCCAAGCTGTTGTCAAATAAAGTCAGGTGACCTATCTTCGAAGTTGTCATTTATCGCAGATGTTTTACAACCCCCATGTACCATTACAGAAGGTTCAAGCCTCCTCAATTGGAATCACTTGAAAAACAAGGCAGCTTCCTCAGTTATCTGAGCTTGGGGTTCCTCTGTTATGTAGCCACTTCGTAGCTCTGTTTGTCTTTGCACCCAAATTTAACGGGAGATAACAGAGAAAAAAGAAAGAATACCAATATTTAAGAATCCCCCTATCGCTTACCCAACATCTCTATTCCCTATCAGAGTACCCCTAACCCAGATTATATTATCTGAAAATTCAATGGGGTACTTGATGACCCAATTCCATATCAGTTTCTACGTTCAATAGCTGTGCTGGGTGGAAAATATTACAAATCAGACTTGTAGACAAGTCTGAGCTTATAGATTTGGACAAGGAATACTTCACCAACACTGCTTAAGTGAAACTTCAAAACCCAAAGACGTAAAAAAGTTTGATTTTATGGCAATCTTGAATACGCTTTTGGAGAATAAGAGGGCAACGATGTAGCTGGTTTGGTTTGGATGTGTGCACTCGGTTGGAGGTTTGGAAATTGGTAGGGACAAATTTGATTGAAATGGAGGAAGTGGGCTGACGATGATGGATGATGTGATTTTCGTTTTGCAATTGTTCTCTTGGAGAAATTCCGATGGAGGAGGCTTGATCTTTATGCAGTCTGATCGATCTCTGTACTGTATGGGGCTGCAAGGGTTGTAGAATATCTGACTAAGCTGCCCTCAAAAGTGAGTTGCGTGCTGGATACATGAATCTACTTGATGCTAGCTTGGATGGAATTGCTAGGAACGTGACGTGTCCTAGATTGACCATTTTAATAAATTTGAGATCATAAATTGGCTGAATAAAAGTCTTGAGGGGTAAATAGACACTTAATAGTTCAGGGAGCAAAAATCTGATTACCCAAGATTATAATATCTTTCCATATGAGGTTCATGTGCATCTCACCTATTCAATATCTACCCATTTGGTATAACTTCAACTTTGTCTGAAATCTTATGAGAAATTCATAATAAATTTAGTTCCTCATTGAACTCTGTGTGAGAATGTGAGGACAAAGTCCTACTACATTGGTGAAGGATCAAACCATGCAAGGGCTTCTAAGGAGTTGGGATACTCCGCATATTGCCAATTGGTTTTATGGTGGAACCTCAACTTTCTTCACTCTGTTATCCCCATGTTAAAAGAACATCTAGCTTCCCTATTTGAAAACTTAATGGCTCTTCAAGTTTGTTCCTGATTGAATTGATATAGAAAGGACTGTTTATTTTGTAAGGCCAAGTGATAATCCCTTTTCTTACTTTTTCCTTCTGAGCAGGCCAGGGTAACAACCAGTGCAGGAACAATGTCAGGGGCCCGATAATCGGTGGTCCATTCACTTTAGTAGACACAGAGAATCACACGGTCACTGAACGGAATCTATTAGGAAACTGGGTTCTTCTCTACTTTGGATATACTTCTTCTCCTGATGTTGGACCAGAGCAAATCCAGATGATGGCCAAGACCATAAACATATTAGGTTTGCGACACTTGTTAACATTTCATATGTGAACACAATTTCGAGGTTTGATTACTGATGCGCTTCGTTCTCTTTTTTGCTTTCATAAGAGTCGAGATATAATTTGAAGGGTCTACCGGTATTTGTTACACTTGATCCAGAACGTGACAACCCTTCTCATCTTCGTGCCTACCTCAAAGGTCCAAATTCTTCTACAGCCCAGTTTGTAATTTTATATTCAAATTGTTTATACACAGATGGTTTAGTTAATATCTCCTTTTGGCTTCCCCACCCACCTCACTCAAAGTTTTCATGGACAGAGTTTGATTCAAGGATTGTGGGGTTAACTGGACCTGTATCAGCTATAAGGCAGATAGCTCAGGAATACCGTGCTTATTTTAAGAAGGTTGAAGAAGACGGAGATGACTATCTCGTTGAGTCTTCCCACAACATGTGAGCCACTAGCTTAAATCTTTTCCTTTTCAAGTTTTCTGGTTATTAGCTTATAGTGGCTGTAATTTGTATTGAAACAAGCAGGTATTTGATGAACCCAAACATGGAAGTCGTGAGATGCTTTGGTGTAGAGTACAATGCAGAAGAACTGTCAGAAGCAATAGTAAAGGAACTGAAAAGAACCTCAACTTAAGAGCCGAAAGGTTTTGCAAGGCGTAATGGAGATTTTACATTCCTCCCATCCTTCATTCTCTCTCTCTTAGGCATACATATCACAGAATTTGATCGCCACTCTTGATTAGGTAGCAGTTTAGAACTTTCACAGTTTCTTGGTTCAGAATTTTTTTGTTTTTGTTTTTGTTTTTTAATGCTACCTCAAATTCGGTTCATTTCTTAACTTCATTGGTTGTAGACAAGAATATGTAACTTTCTTTTCTCAAATTGTTGGGTGATCGAGTCCTTATTACTTGCAATGATGAGACATGTTATAGGCAATTAAAACGTCTATGGGTCCAATCCGTTGTTTGATGGTATTGAATGTAATTTTGGTTACGTTACCCAACCTCACACGGGTTACAAGCCCATCTGCACAAGGCAAAGTCGGTACCTCGTGGACCTTGACCTTGTTCTCGAGTTTGAAATCACTCTGGCGATTACTTGCGGCTGCTTCAACTTCTGTCGAGAGACTTCGTTAGCAACTCGGAGGACCTGAAGCGGATCTTTCGTGTTATGCGCGACGTGGTGGAGAGATCGCTAAGGAGACAGAGCTGGTGTCTGGATTTTGAGTGCCTTGAATAACAACACCAATGTAGCACCACTTAACTAGGTTTGCTTGCTCTCATTTAAATCTGCCTAAACCAAACCAAGTTTTGATCCCATACGTTCATGAGTTGAAGAATGATTTTCATATCATCTCTTGTTTCACATTTTATGCTTTTTGTTTTTCCTGCTAACGTGTATTTATGCATTTATTAAGTAATATTCGGAACTTGTCTGATTTATAAAAATAAAGATTCGAACTTGAGTGCAAAGAAACAATGCGCTGCACGATATACACACATTTAAGTTTGGGTCCTACGTGGGATGTTGAAACCAACAGAGACATGCCAAGCTCAAAGGAAATGAAGGCAATGACAGATTGACATTAGGTTGTGGTGACTGGTGAGTCAATCTGAGCTGTGCTTTCGTTTCTAAAAATCTAGAGATCGTCATTTAACGCAAGACCGGGTCTTCTGCTTCCACCTCTGCACCGCACCAGAGAACAAAAAACACAAATGAGAACGTGAAGAAAAAGAAACATAACAAAAAACAAATCCGGAAACAGAAACTCAAAAAATAAAAACCAGAACAAGATTCAACACCAGCTATTACAGTCTATGTTTTTTTATTTTTTATTTTGTAAATTTGTGTTTTATACAAGAACAAACCCGTAAACTGTTATTCTCTTTTCCTGCCCCTGATTAGCTAATGATGCAATCCATTTTCGTCTCTCTTGCACAGAGCAGAGAGAAATCAAGGAGGCATTGTTTCTAGATTCGCAGGCAGATGGTCACTCAGCTCCAGGAGGCCATGCACATAATCTCCTGCTTCCCCTCTCATTTTTTCATTCATTTTTAATACTTTTTCTTTTTTTCCTTTTTCATGCACTTGATGTTCTTCTCTTGGTTTTGTTACGTCACACCATGCGCAAATTTGATCAGGGTGAGAGATAGCAATTAATAAAAAATGGGAGACTCGCCGGAGAAGAAATCAGGTTGCGGCATCTTGAGTGCTGTTTTTGGGCGGAATAGTTTCTGGCCGAGAAGAACAACTTCTACGGCTTCTCTTCCGGTATCCAACAACAACAATGCCACGTTAGTTAAAACACCAAGCACTCCCAATTCCAAACGGCGTCGTGGTGGCTCCGATGAGGCTTCCTTCCTTGATTCATCAAGCAATGTACCATCAGATCATTCATCGAAACCGATCACGAAGCCTTCCCAGTATAGTAATAGGGCACCCCCTATACAACAGCAGCAGCAGCAGCAGCAGCAACAACAACAACAACAGCAGCAACAACAACAACAACAACAACACCAACACCAACACCACCAACAAAAAATGGCGCCAAGCCAAGGTTATGTGAACCAAGGCCGAAGGGTTCCAAAGGAGGCGGTTGGCATATCTGGGGAGCTTGAGAGCATGATTACTGATCATCAAAAATCAAAAGGGAGTAGTAGCCTTGTTAGGGCTTCATCCAGCAATGTTATGCTTTTCGGAAATTTGGGTAACTTGAGACAACCTGGTGGCGGTGGTGGTGGAGGTGGTGGAAATGCAAGCCCGTATAATGTTCTTGATTATCTTCCAAAGACTGCTAGAGAGGAAGCTCCAATGCCGACTCATGTAAACGTGGGGAAGACAAGTACTGCTAGGGAAGAGAAGAGACGAAGTGAGCCGGAACCACCTGCTTCCTTATGTCGCGCATTGTCTACTAGAATGGACCCCGAAACATTGAAGATCATGGGCAATGAAGATTACAAGAACGGAAGATTTGCAGAAGCATTGGCTTTGTATGATGCTGCAATTTCTATTGACCCCAATAAGGCTTCTTATAGGAGCAACAAGAGTGCCGCATTAACCGCTCTAGGTGAAATTCTTGAGGCAGTTTTTGAGTGCAGAGAAGCCATTCGGATTGAACCCCACTATCATAGGGCTCATCATCGTCTGGCAACATTATATCTTAGGTACAGCATAAAATTCCACATGTCAGTTTCATTTTGGAGTTGCAACTTTTGTCTTTAAAATTCTGTTCGCCTAGTTGTTCTTAAAATTAATGTGTTATGTACATATAGATTAGGGGAAGCAGAAAAAGCTTTGTATCACTACAAGCATGCTGGACCAGAGGCTGATCAAGAGGACATTGCTAAAGTAAAAACTCTTCAGGCCTGCCTGAACAAGTGCACAGAGGCTCGTAGGTTAAGAGATTGGAACACCCTCATAAAGGAATCCCAAAGCGTTATATTAGCCGGTGCAGATTCAGCGCCCCAGGTCAGACATAAAATTATCAAATTCTAGTCTCATCATTACTAGAATTGCTTCTCTCTTATCCTCTAGTAGATGTCCCTTGAATAAGTCTATAAGAATTTGTTTCTCAACTTTACCTGAAAATGTGATGTGTCTTAAAAGTTTCTTTCAAATGTAGAAAAAAAAAATGTTTTGTGGATTGACTAATATTGATTTCATTTTTACACTCCACGAAGATATATGCTTTGCAAGCGGAGGCCTTGTTGAAGCTCAATAGGCACAAGGAAGCAGATGAAGCATTATCCAGGGGTCCAAATTTTGATGTTGATGCCTGCACCAAATTCTTCGGCCCAATTGGTAACGCGAATTTGCTAGCAACACGAGCTCAGGTGGACATGGTTGCTGGCAGGTAGTGTATTTTATATCTTTATAGTAGCTGTTTTAGTTACGATTATGCTAATCCTTATGCAGTCTCCAAAGGAAGAACGTTCATAAAAAAGAAATTAAGAAAAAGGAAATATCATTGGAAACACATACATTAAGCTTTTTCTTAATTTGGTCAAATAATTTTTTTATTTGTTTTGCAATGGTTTGGCAGATTGGATGATGCATTAGAGGCAGCTCAACGAGCATCACAGCTTGACTCAAACAACAGGGAAGCAAACATGGTAATGAGAAAGGCTCGAGCTGTTGTGGTAGCTCGATCAAAAGGCAACGAGCTTTTCAAGACAGCAAGGTTCTCAGAGGCATGTGCTGCATACGGGGAGGGACTTGAGCACGATCCTTATAACTCGGTGTTATTATGCAACCGTGCTGCTTGTCGTTCAAAACTTGGCCAATTAGATAAAGCAATTGAGGACTGTACAGCTGCCCTTAATGTCCGCCCATCTTACAGCAAGGCTAGATTAAGAAGAGCAGATTGCAATGCTAAGGTGACCACTGTACTCATTCATATATCCACATCTTTCCTGTAAAAAACAATTTTCAAGTTGTTCATATTGTTGCTCTTTCATTGTGTTACAAGTGAGTTGTAATGTTTATATGTTGACGTACCAAGCAGTTGAAAAAATGGGAAGCTTCAATACAAGACTATGAGATTTTGATAAAGGAAGCACCAGAGGATGAGGAGGTAAACTGTGCTTTGTCTGAGGCGCGGGTGCAGCTCAGAAAACAGCGAGGCTAACAAGAGAGCTTAGACGTGGACAATGGAAACAAGCCAATGCAACTAAATTAGAACGAAATAGCCATGAAAGAAAGTTGCCCTTCTGCAATTGGATGGCTCTTGGAGCTCAAGAAGAGACAGAACTTATGAGTGGTAGGAAAAAAAACAAAAGATGATTTTTCAAATAGGGGACTGAAAGTGGCAATTCATACAATGTACACAGATACGTGACCCAATTTTCTTTTATGTATAGTTGTATTTGTGCAATTCTTTCTGGGAAATGTATTTGATATTGCTTATAAGAGTTGTCAAAAAAGTACTTGGGAGAAACCTTGAATTCTTTGTTTCTGCAAGCCGAAATGTTTCCCTCATTACCAATGTTGCACCGATATGGATACTATAAGATTCGTACTTTGCTACTCTTAATTTTTTAGAAAAGCTAATAAAAAAAATTTCAAAATTTTGAGTTTTAACAAAAAATCATGTAATAACTTTATTTAATGGTTAGTAGAAAGCCCAATATTAAATCAATCCAAATAAAATGACCCAACCAAAATAACATAATAATTTCTCAATTTTACTCTGACGCTTTTAGGTTACGTAAGTCTTGTTTTTTTGTTAGTTTAGTTATGTCTACAAATAGAGTTATAAAGACCATGTGTTTGAAAATTTTCAGATACCCCATTAGTTTTAGGCCAAATCAGATAAATGATCCTTGTGGTCATAAGATATTCGAAAGATAGTTCTTGTGCAAAAAAAAACTCAGATTTATACCCCTGTGGTGTACTCCATTAGTAAATTTAGTCCAAAAATGATTTTTCCATTAACTATTTATTAATACATGGGTAAAATTATACTTTGACATGTGCACCTTCTTATTCCTCGTCTTTATATTGTCCAATGTATAAGAACAAGGTCTGTAATTTGTACTTTCACAACACCACGTCCGAGAAGTATGGATAAGAAGAAAGTCTGTAATTTGTATTTGTACAACACCATGTCTGATTCAAATTCAATCAGCATAAAGTTGCCAGCACAAATGTCATGTCAGTTTGTTTCAAATTATCTTGTCAATCGTTGTATCGCAATCACAAACAAATTAAGAGGTCTTCGATTCCAACTTCGGTATCTACCATTACAAAAGTAGAACACAAAATCGAACCGAACGAAAATCATCATAACAGTTTTTGAATAAATTTCGATTTATTCGAAACAAATCAAAGCTTCCTCCCAGAAATGTAATTTCTTTTCAATTCTCCACAACTTCATTAGAAAATTAAAGCAACAGGCACAGGGATTTAAATCCGAATTTTTTTAGCACATGAGCTAT